ATGAAGGAAGAAGAACAGGTTCCTATCATCAAGAAGACCATGGCACTCAAAATTGATGACCATCCGGAAAGCGAAGGAGAAAGTGATGAGGAGCTTGCCATGTTCAAGAGATACAAGAAGTTTATGAAATGGAACAAGGGCGAATCCTCAAAAAGATTTCCATCAAAGAAAGGTAAACTTAATCAAATAACTTGCTATGAATGTGGAAATGTAGGTCATATCAAACCGGAGTGCCCAAAGCTCAAAAAGAAGGAAGAGCTTAAAAAGGGGAAGAAGAAGGCATTAAAAGTCACTTGGGATGATTTAAACTCCGACGAAAGTGATAGTGACCAAATGATGAAGAAGAGGTTAGTTCTCAAAATTCATTTACCTCTTTTGAAAGTCAAATTACTTTTGATGAGTTAAGGCAAGCGTTTGATGAATGCCAAGAGGACCTTTTTTGAACCATTAGGGAGAAAAAGGAACTCAAGGTGGCTCTTGAAACTTCTCATGATGAAAACAAAAATTTAAAACTTAATCTTGAAAAGTTTCAAAACCAAAATGAAGAACTTCAAAAGAAAATTGAAATTTTGATTAAAGAAAAAGACAAGGCCAAACGAGGGGCTTTGGAAATGTTTTACAATAGCTATAACTCAACAAAAGAATGGGATAACCAACCAAAACTAACGAAAGAAGGTATTGGTTATGGTCAATCCACAAACTTGAGGAGTATGGCTAAAAACCATTTTAATGCCTCTAAAACTAACCCATCAAACCAAGCCTCAACTTCTAAATCAAAAGTAAGGGCTTGCTACTACTGCATGCAAGCTAATCATATTGTGACAAAATGTCCAACCAAATGGTTAGTTGAAATGCGTAGATTAAAATGGGTCAAGAAGGGTTCTAACCGGTCGGAATCCATGAATATTGCATATCAAAAGAAACCCTTTTTGCAGGAAAATAAAAGAAATGATGGTGGATACTATTTCTTTTATTATGATGAAAAACGAAAAGTCCATATACCACTTCCGGAACCAACCAAGACGAAACCTGTATATCGACATAGGGTATTCGTCGATTGGAACCCCAAACCTAAGTCAAAAGTAAATTCCGTTTTGACTAGGTGAAAAATACCACTTGGGTTGTGGATAGTGGATGTTCAAGGCACATGACCGGAACAAGAGGATGGTTCACAAGTCTCAAGGAGAAAAGTCATGGACATGTGACCCTTGGAGACAAATCCCGGAAGAAAGTCATTGGTAAAGGTACGATAGGTATTTCAAGTGATTTTTTAATAAATGATGTTTATCTTGTTGATGGCCTAAAATTTAATTTAATTAGCATAAGCCAACTTTGTGACAATGACCACAAAATTGAGTTTAATACAAATTCCTGCGTTTTATATGGCCAAAAAAAAGATGAAATCATTTTTGAGGCTAAAAGAGATGGAAACTTATACAAGTTCAATTCCAATGACTTAAGCAACTCAAAAATCACTTGTCTTACTACTTCACTTGAATTTTCAACTTTATGGCACCGTAGACTAGGACATGCTAGTTATGATCTTTTGAGAAAACTTTACTCAAAAGAACTTGTTGTTGGGCTACCAAAAATGAGCATACCTACTTCTCATTTTTGTGATGCTTGCTCCCTTGGAAAACAACATAAAGTTTCATTTAAGCCCATAAAATGGTTTTAACGTCAAGGCCACTTGAGCTATTACATATGGATTTATTTGGGCCCGTAGACGTTCAAAGCCTAGGTGGAGCTAGTTTTACTTTTGTAATTGTAGATGATTTTTCTCGTTATACTTGGACTATATTACTTTCCAATAAAGATGATGCGTTTAATGCGTTTGTTAAGTTGTGCAAGAGAATCCAAAATGAGAAAGGTTAATTATGAAATAACCTCTATTAAAAGTGATAGAGGAGGAGAATACCGGAATACCGATTTTGAGACATATTGTGATGAACACGGTATTTCTCACAACTTTTCGGCTCCTAGAACACCTCAACAAAATGGAGTCGTTGAAAGGAAAAATAGGACGTTGCAAGAAATGTCAAGGACCATGTTGAATGAACACAACCTACCTCAATATTTTTGGGGAGAAGCGGTCAACACGGCATGCTACGTTCTTAACCGGGTATTACTTAGACCTGTTATTAAAAAGACTCCCTATGAACTTTGGAAAGGTAGAAAACCAAACATTTCCTATTTCAAAGTTTTTGGGTGTAAATGCTATATTTTGAATACCAAGGATCATTTAGGCAAATTTGAGCCTAAATCAAATGAAGGATTTTCCTTGGTTATTCAACAAATAGTAGAACCTATAGGGTATATAATAAATCAAATCATAAAGTAAAAGAATCTATGCATGTAAAATTTGATGAAACCGATCCCTTTGGGTCGAGTAAGGAAATTGCAGGTTCAAATGAAGAAGAAGAGGAAAAAGAAATCCTGGAAATTCCTGCGCAAGATGAAGAAAGTGCAAAGTGTTGACCCTTGTGTTTTGATAATGACAACTATCTCATGGGCTTGGCACTTTGGATGTTGATCTTCACTATCATGCGTTGGATCTCAAGACAAGTGTGAAGCTATAGTATTTTTGGTTTTCGTTTTGATCTTAGCATTTTTTTTGTTAAAGTGTATGGCATGTTAGTTGTTCTTCTCTCCTTGAAAATGTTTTTCAAAAACCCTTCAAATTGTTTTTTGAGTCAATTGCAAAATAACATTTTCAAAACTGTGAGAACTATTCGGATAATTCTTGTTTTACTCGAATAAGTCAGAGTTCTCAGTGTTGTCTTATTCGGATAAATATCATATTATTCGAATAAGTCCTGACTTTCATTTCTTCAATCCTACAGTGATTTAGTCGAATAAACCTTAATTTATTCGAATAAGTCTGCGTTTTTCGCTCTGTCCTATTCGGATAAATATGATTTTATTCGAATAAGTCGTCAGTTTGAACTGCGGTTTGGTCAATTTTAAAGGGAGTTATCCATTCCTATCTTCCATAACTCACTTACAACGGCTCTTTTGCTTAAAGAACATTATATATATCCATTCAAACATATTCTTTTATCAATCCAAGCAATTCAATTCATACTTTTGATCCTTTAACATTACATCCAAGCAATTCAATTCATACTTTTGATCCTTCAACATTACTTCCAAGCAATTCTTCAAGAAATCAATATTTGCTTGAGTTTTGAAGAGTACTAGTGTGCCATACTCTATAAGTTCTTGTATTCTACATCAATCCACTCTTAATTTGAAGAGTATTTCCGCTGTGCACTTTGTTTTGGAACGGTGTGTGAATTGTAAAAACTTGAAGTTGATATAATACAAGTTTTTAGAGAGAAATCCTAAGTCTTGTGAAATCAAGACTTCGGTGGAAAGGTTAGAGGCTTGCGAATTCAAGTTCTCGAGTTGTAATCGGATTGTCAAACTCCGTTAAGTTTGACGAAGTTAGTGGAATCTCGGGCACGTTTGCTTCGGGGACTGGATGTAGGCATTAGGCCGAACCAGGATACATCGTGTGTTGCTCCTTCTCTTCATCTTTGTGTTCTTGTGGTTGATATACTCCTGCGAATTTTTGTTCTTCCAAAAGTTCTTGATTTTTGAAGAACACCTCTATTCACCCCCCCTCTAGAGGTGCGTAAGTTGTTCAACAATTGGTATCAGAGCGTGGCTGCATTTCCAAAGCTTCACCGCCGGAAATCTAGATCATGGCCGGAAGAACATTCCAAGCCGGTGTATCCAAGGACAATCTACTACACGTCCTCCATTCTTTGATGGTACAAATTATGCATATTGGAAGGAAAGAATGAGGATATTCATACAATCAAATGACTTCGACTCATGGATGGTAATCAAGCATGGAAACACTACCCCTGCAAATATTGTTGATGGAATTCGTGTTCCCAAGTTGGAATCCGAATATGATGATCAAGACAAGAAGAACGTCATGCAAAATGCCAAAGCCATCAACTATCTTTATTGTGCTGTGAACCCTGATGATTATAGGAAGATATCAAGATACAAATCCGCCAATGAGATGTGGACTAAACTCGAAGTCACTTATGAAGGTACATCTCAAGTTAAAGATGCTAAAGTTGACATCTTATTGCATGAATATGAATTATTCTCAATGAAGGAAAATGAAAGCATTGATAGTTATTTTGAGAGATTCTCTACAATCATCAACAATCTTAACACGCTCGGAAAGTATTACACCGATCATGAGCTTGTCCGGAAAATTCTGCGTTGTATGACTTCTGAGTGGAAATCCGAGGTGAACGCCATAACTGAAGGAAGGGACTACAATGTCTTAACTTATGATACTCTTCGTGGGAAACTACTCACATATGAAACTACTACTCCTCATCTACGTGGTGAAGACAAAAGGAGGAAATCTATAGCATTGAAAGCCACCAAGGAAGTTGTAGAGGAAAATGAAGAAGATGATGATGAATCACTTAATTTAGAAGATAATCCCGAACTTGCTCTTGTCATCAAACGCTTCAACAAATTTATCAAGAAAAGCTTCAAGCCAAGGAGAGACAATAGCAAGAAAGCTACACCACCTAAATGCTATGAATGTGGAGAGATAGGGCACATCAAGCCTTATTGTCCTAAGTTGAAGCAAGGGAAGGACAAGAAGTTCAAGAAGAAGCAAAAAGCATACATCTCATGGGAGAGTGATCATTCATCTTCCGAAACAAGTGATGAGGACGAAGAACAGCAAATCTTTGTCTAATGGCTACCGAGGAAGAGGTATCTTCTAATTCTTTTTCAACTCCTTTATCGTCTTCAAGTAATTGTTTTTCATTGGATGAGTTACATAGTGCATTTAGTGATCTTTATGGTGAATTTATCAATTCCACCAAAGAAGCTAAATTTGCCAAGGAAAATGTCACCTCTCTTGAAGCAAAAATAATCGAACTTAATAAAGAGATGGAATTATTAAAATTGGAGAATAAGAAACTTGGCAAAGTTAGTGTTGATTCACCTTGTGCACAATGTAAAATCCATGAAAAAGAGGTAGCTAGATTGCATGAGCATTTAGGAAAATATAATAAGGCTAGCAAGGACATGCACTTTATAGTTCAACAAGGTCAATATAATAGAAATGGATTAGGATATAAATCTAAGGGACTTAAGAAAATGAACTTCGTAAAAGAAGGAGAAAGACCTTTGGATAAAAATAATTCTAGGAATAATTCACAACGAAAATTTATTAGTAATCTTAAGAAGACTCAATCTAGAATAGCACAAACCCCCACCACTTCTAGGATGAGAAAATCTAGTGAGTCTAGGAGTTACGTTGATCATAGGTTCATTAGACAACCTAGACAATTTCCTAGAAATAGACAACCTAGCAATTTTAGGAATGTAAGGAATGCACCTAGACAACCTAGCAACTTTAGGACACATAGGAGACACTCTAGTCCATATAGATATATGTATGATCGTAGAGTTGTTTGTCATTTCTGTGATCACGTTGGACACATAGCTCCTGTATGTTTTAGGAAGCTTAGATTGATTGCTAAGAATAGGAAGAGGGCACACATTGATATTTATGATGTTCATACTAACTCTCAAGGACCCAAAAAGATTTGGGTACCTAAAACCCCTAATTAAATAATTATACAGGCGTGCTTGAAGGCATCAAGTGTACTATGGTACCTTGATAGCGGATGCTCCAAGCACATGACCGGAGATGCATCCAAATTTGTTTTTCTAAAATCAATTGATGGTGGAAATGTCATATTTGGCGACAACAACAAAGGAAAAATCATTGGAACCGGAACTGTTGGCAAAAACAAAGCTTTCGGAATTGAAAATGTGTTGTTGGTCGAAGGCCTCAAGCATAATTTTCTTAGCATTAGTCAATTGTGTGATAAAGGTAACCGTGTTATTTTTTCTTCTAATCATTGCATGGTCGAACGCCTTTGTGATAGCAAGATTATCCTTACCGGCGATCGCATAGATAATATTTACATGATCAACTTTGAAATTACTGCAACGGACTTTGCTCATTGCCTCATTACTAAAGGGGAAGAGATGTGGCTATGGCATAAAAGAATTGGTCACACCAATATGGAACTAATTAATAAATTAGTTTCAAAAGACTTAGTAATTGGTGTTCCTAAACTCAAATTCGAAAAGGGAATTTGTGATTCATGTCAAAAGGGTAAACAAGTAAAAACCTCTTTCAAATCAAAGAAAGTTGTTTCTACTTCTAGACAATTGCAGCTTTTGCACATTGATCTCTTTGGACCTTCTCGAACTATGAGTTTAGGTGGTAATTACTATGCCTTGGTTATTGTTGATGACTACTCTCGTTATACATGGACCTTATTTCTTTCTCACAAGAGTAATGCACCTTCATCTTTTTGCAAATTCACTAAAAAGGTTCGAAATGAAAAAGGTTGTAGCATTGTGGCCGTAAGAAGTGATCATGGAGGAGAGTTTGATCAAAGTGGGTTTGATACCTACTGCGATGAAGTAGGCATTGCACATAACTTCTCAGCCCCAAGAACGCTTCAACAGAATGGCGTTGTTGAGCGGAAAAACCGATCTCTCAAAGAGATGGCGAGAACTATGCTTAGTGAGGCTAACATACCTAAGTACTTTTGGGCGGATGCAGTGAGTACTAGTGCTTATATTCTCAATCGTTCGATTATAAGACCTATACTCAATGCTACTCCGTACGAATTGTACAAGGGTAGAAAGCCTAATCTCTCACATCTTCACATCTTTGGTTGCAAATGTTATGTTTTGAATAATGGAAAAGATAATTTAGGACCTTTTGATGCCAAGTCAGATGAATCAATTTTTATAGGTTATTCTTTGACAAGTAAGGCCTACAGAGTTTTCAACAAACGTACCTTAGTTGTTGAAGAATCAGTACATGTTGTGTTTGATGAAAATAATGCTCGATTGTCGAGAAGGGTATCTTGTGATGACCTTGCAGGTTCACTTGAGAAAATGAATCTTGAAGAAGGTGAATCAAGTAAGGCAAAATCTGAAAAACAAGAAGTTGTTGAAGAAAAAGTTGAGGACAAAATGGAAGAGTATATTGCAAATGAGTTACCACCCGAATGGAGAACTTCAAGATATCATCCTTTAGACAATGTGATTGGTGAAATCTCCAAAGGGGTAACTACTCGTAGCTCATTACGCAATTTAGTTAATCATATGGCTTTTGTATCTCAAATAGAACCTTCTACCATTGATGATGCCATTAATGATGAATACTGGACTATGGCTATGCATGAGGAGTTGGATCAATTCAAACGTAATGACGTTTGGGAACTTGTGCCTAGGCCACGTAATCATTCAATCATTGGCACCAAATGGGTATTTAGAAACAAACTCGACGAAAATGGTATTATCACTAGAAACAAAGCTAGGCTTGTAGCTAAAGGCTACAATCAACAAGAAGGTATAGACTTTGATGAGACTTATGCCCCTGTAGCAAGATTAGAAGCCATTAGATTACTACTTGCGTATGTCGCTACTATGAATTTTAAACTGTACCAAATGGATGTCAAGAGTGCTTTCTTGAATGGTTTCATTCAAGAAGAAGTGTATGTCGAACAACCTCCGGGATTTGAGGACTTTGAGTATCCAAATCACGTGTTCAAACTGAAAAAGGCTATCTACGGACTTAAACAAGCCCCGAGAGCTTGGTATGAATGTTTGAGTTCGCATCTCTTGGAGAATGGATTTCAAACAGGAAAGGTAGACACCACACTCTTCATTAAGCATAATGCTCTTGACATGCTTTTAGTACAAATCTATGTTGATGACATTATTTTTGGTGCTACTAATGATCTTATGTGTGAGGAATTTACTAAGATTATGCAAGGGGAGTTCGAAATGTCAATCATGGGAGAACTAAATTTCTTCCTCGGTCTTCAAATTCGACAACTTGAACATGGGACATTTCTTAGCCAAACGAAGTACTCAAAAGAACTTCTCAAGAAATTTGAGATGGAAGATTGTAAAGAAATGGCTACCCCAATGAGTTCTCAATGCTCACTTGATAAAGATGAAAGTGGTAAGTCGATTGATGTGAAACGGTATCGAGGTATGATAGGTTCTTTACTTTATTTAACTGCTAGTAGACCTGATTTGATGTTTAGTGTTTGTATGTGTGCTAGATATCAAGCGAACCCTAAGGAATCTCATTTGACCGTTGTCAAACGGATCCTTAAGTATGTGAGAGGCACCTTGAACTTGGGACTTTGGTATCCCAAAGGTTCAACATGCACTCTTGTTGGGTATTCTGATTCCGATTTTGCCGGATGCAAAATGGATAGAAAGAGTACGAGTGGAACATGTCACCTTTTTGGTTGTTCTCTTGTTTCTTGGTTTAGCAAGAAGCAAGTAAGTGTTGCTTTGTCCACCGCCGAGGTCGAGTATGTCGCTGCGGGGAGTTGTTGTGCACAAATCCTTTGGATGAAACAACAACTTTTGGACTATGGCCTTGTACTTGATCACATTCCTTTGCGTTGTGATAATATGAGCGCTATAAATATTACGAAGAATCATGTTCACCATTCTCGTACTAAGCATATAGATATTCGACATCACTTTATTAGAGACCATGTCCAAAAGGGTGATGTTGACATTGAGTTTGTCGATACAACTAATCAGTTGGCCAACATATTTACTAAACCCTTGGACCGTGAGAATTTCAGTCGTATTAGAAATGCCTTAGGAATTATTGCTATTAACTAAGTTCTTTTAATTATTTTTATGTTAATTGATTGAATTTTGTACTAACTTAGGCATCGGAGTGGTTTTTAATTCTTTTTTGCAGGAACTCACCCATCCACTCCTCTTTCTTACTCCATAGGAAGCATTTATTTAGGGGGAATGTTTATTGACTTTGGATATTTGAAGAATTTCAAAGGCCTGCTTTACTACAGTGGTTTATTCGAATAAATTCAGAACTATTCGAACAAATATGCACCTTACAAATTCCAGTGTTGCACCTCAAATTCATCTATTCGAATAAGTTGGTAACTATTAAAATAAATGAATTCTAGTGTTGCGGGTTGTCAGACGTTATTCGAATAAATAGGGAACTATTCGAATAAATTAGATCAGATCTGATATTTTTAAAGGTCATCTATTCGGTCAAAGTTCCTTCACTTCTTCTCAGAATTAAATCGCCAGTCTTCTCTCTCTCACTCGGCGACTCTCTGGAACCATAGTCGCAGCATCTTCTTCATCGACGCAAGAATCCTCGTCGCCAAGCTCTTCTTCCTCAATTGATTCATCCTCGTCGCCAAGAACCCTAGGCGCGGCTTCACCGACGACTCTCCATACCTAGGCGCCAAGCTTTTCTCCGACAAATCCATGGCGTCAAGGACGAAGAGGAAGACCATTCGGCAACCTAATTCTTCCTCTCTCCCTGGTTCTTCATCTCAACAACAATCTACACCCGAAGTACCAAGGTTTGTCTACCCTCTTAATCCTCGGATTTATTTTGAAGATGAGGCCAATTTGAAAACTTTCCTTGAACGATTCGTTCCTAGGAAGATTGTCATTCCTAGGTATGTCGATTTGGTGGAGTTTGAAAGAAACCAAGATTTTGAATCTGTTTTGTCCAAACTCCGCTCCTCGGGTCTCCTTAATGTCGTCACCATTAGAGAGACTCAAGTTCCTTTTGATTATATTAAGGCTTTTTATGCGTCTCTCATCTTCAAACATCGTGGTTCCCAATTTGTTGTTACGGCTAAGTTTTGTGGAAAAGAGGTTGTTGTTACCAGTTCAGAGCTTAATTCTATGTTTGGGATGTCCAATTCTGGAGGTGAGATTACCACAGTGAACAATGATCAGAATCCATGGTATGACTTTGATGAGCGTAAATGTTGGGAGGCTATGGATTTCACGCCCCAATTCAATTCATCCAAACGTCCAATGGTGAGCGGGATGACACCACCTCAAAGATTGCTGCAATACATCTATTCTTATATCTTGCGAGGTCGGGTTGGAAATCATCCCCAAATGTCCAAGGATGACTCGATGCTCATCTATGCAATTCTCAAGCCGATTCCCATCAATTGGGGCAAATTCATTTTGACCTACATGAACTTCTGTCGTGCAAAGAAACGAGCCCTTCCATATCCTCTTCTCGTCACTCATATTTTGAAGCAAAAAGGTTTTGAGTTTACTACTGCTGAGATGACTAATGATACTCCTTTTTGGCGAATCCGAGTGGAAATCGTAACTCGTGCTCAGAATGTTGATGATGACTCCAGTGACGATGATGATGATGTTGTTGCTCCTACCCAGAAGCATCCGATTTCCTATAGAGGTAGGGTCTCTCTGCCGATGTTATACGACGCTATGCAAGGACTCCAAACCTCCCTTGACAACTTGAAGATTCAACAAGCTATCCATGGTTATAATTTGAACCAATTGTTGGTCAAGTCGGGAGAACATTGGGTGGTTCCATCGATGGATGCGTTGGAGCCATATATGTATCACGGGTCATCATCTTCTCAAGATACGACTACTTATCAAGAGACTCAGGGAATTGTTGCTGATGATGCTGCTGATGATGAGGAAGATGAGATGGATGAGGAATGAGTGGATGGGGCACTCATGTTATTTTCTAAACTATTTATCTAATATCTCTTTATCTTTTGTCTTTGTTATATGTGACTTTGCTATCTCCCATTCCTCCTTGTGTTTTGATAAACTTAATGTTTTTTGTCCTTCACCCTTTTTGCTTATGACAAAAGGGGGAAGAGTAATGTGCTTGTGCTTGTTGTAGTGCAATCACTAAGGGGGAAGTAAGGGAAGTATTCTAAACTCTTTCTTTAAACTCTTTACTTGTCTTGTCTTGTTGCTCTTGTTGTATTTGTTGAAAACAGGATATTATTTGGAATCAAGCCCAAGCATTTGATAAGTTGGGTTTGTCATTATCAAAAAGGGGGAAATTGTTGACCCTTGTGTTTTGATAATGACAACTATCTCATGGGCTTGGCACTTTGGATGTTGATCTTCACTATCATGCGTTGGATCTCAAGACAAGTGTGAAGCTATAGTATTTTTGGTTTTCGTTTTGATCTTAGCATTTTTTTGTTAAAGTGTATGGCATGTTATTTGTTCTTCCCTCCTTGAAAATGTTTTTCAAAAACCCTTCAAATTGTTTTTTGAGTCAATTGCAAAATAACATTTTCAAAACTGTGAGAACTATTCGGATAATTCTTGTTTTACTCGAATAAGTCAGAGTTCTCAGTGCTGTCTTATTCGGATAAATAGCATATTATTCGAATAAGTCCTGACTTTCATTTCTTCAATCCTACAGTGATTTAGTCGAACAAACCTTAATTATTCGAATAAGTCTGCATTTTTCACTCTGTCCTATTCGGATAAATATGATTTTATTCGAATAAGTCGTCAGTTTGAACTACAGTTTTGTCAGTTTTAAAGGGAGTTATCCATTCCTATCTTCCATAACTCACTTACAACGGCTCTTTTGCTTAAAGAACATTATATATATCCATTCAAACATATTCTTTTATCAATCCAAGCAATTCAATTCATACTTTTGATCCTTCAACATTACATCCAAGCAATTCAATTCATACTTTTGATCCTTCAACATTACTTCCAAGCAATTCTTCAAGAAATCAATATTTTCTTGAGTTTTGAAGAGTACTAGTGTGCCATACTCTATAAGTTCTTGTATTCTACATCAATCCACTCTTAATTTGAAGAGTATTTCCGCTGTGCACTTTGTTTTGGAATGGTGTGTGAATTGTAAAAACTTGAAGTTGATATAATTCAAGTTTTTGGAGAGAAATCCTAAGTCTTGTGAAATCAAGACTTCGGTGGAAAGGTTAGAGGCTTGCAAATTCAAGTTCTCGAGTTGTAATCGGATTGTCAAACTCCGTTAAGTTTGACGAAGTTAGTGGAATCTCGGGCACGTCTGCTTCGGGGACTGGATGTAGGCATTAGGCCGAACCAGGATACATCGTGTGTTGCTCCTTCTCTTCATCTTTGTGTTCTTGTGGTTGATATACTCCTGCAAATTTTTGTTCTTCCAAAAGTTCTTGATTTTTGAAGAACACCTCTATTCACCCCCCCCCCTCTAGAGGTGCGTAAGTTGTTCAACACAAAGAAGGAACTACCGAAGGCATACAAACACTTGAAGAATCATCCAAGAGACAATATCATTGGGAATATTGAAAAGGGAGTTAGAACTAGGAACAATTACAATCTTTGTGCACACTATGCGTTCGTTAGTCAATTTGAACCTAAGAACGTAGAAGATGCACTAAAAGATAGTGATTGGATTATATCCATGCAACTAGAGCTTGAGCAATTTGAACGCAACAAGGTTTGGGAACTAGTCGAAAGACCGGAAAACCGACCCGTTGTGGGCACTAAATGGGTCTTTAAAAACAAGCTTGATGAAAAAGGTGTTATTATCACCAATAAAAGTCGACTTGTTGCTAAAGGCTATAGCCAAGTTGAAGGACTTGACTATGATGAAACTTTTGCTCCGGTTGCTAGGCTTGAATCTATTCGAATGTTATTAGCTTTTGCAAGTGCTCTTAATTTCAAACTTTTTCAAATGGATGTAAAAAGTGCTTTTCTAAATGGGTGGTTGAAAGAAGAAGTTTATGTTGAACAACCTCCCGGTTTTGAAAATCCTGATTTTCCAAATCATGTTTTTAAACTTCATGAGGCCCTTTATGGACTCAAACAAGCTCCTAGAGCTTGGTATGAGCGGCTTACCGAACATCTCATCTCACATGGATTTGCAAAAGGAAAGATCGATTCCACACTTTTTGTCAAAACAAAAGGAAAAGATCTCATAATTGTGCAAATTTATGTTGATGATATTATTTTTGGGTCAACTAATGAAGCCTTATGTAATGAATTTTCAGGAATTATGACAAGCAAATTTGAAATGAGTATGATGGGTGAGTTGAACTTCTTCCTTGGACTACAAATCAAGCAACTTGGAGATGGTATTTTCATTAGTCAAACCAAGTATGCCAAAGAATTGGTCAAGAAGTTCAACCTTGAAGACTCAAAGACATACCCGACTCCAATGAGCACATCCTTAAAGCTTGACAACAACGAAAGCGGAAAACCCGTAAATGAAAAGGTATATCGAGGTATGATTGGTAGTTTACTTTATTTAACTGCATCTAGACCCGACATCATGTTTTCTGTTTGCCTTTGTGCACGTTTCCAATCATCACCCAAAGAATCACATCTTAACGCCATCAAGCGAATAATTCGTTATGTCAAAGGAACCACCAATATGGGTTTATGGTATCCCAAGAATACGAATTTAAGTTTGATAGGTTTTAGTGATGCTTACTTTGGCGGGTGTCGTATTGATCGGAAAAGCACAAGTGGCACATGTCAATTCATAGGTCATGCACTAGTGTCTTGGTCATCTAAGAAACAACACTCCGTCGCCCTATCCACCGCCGAAGCGGAATATGTGGCTATGGGTAGTTGTGTTGCTCAAATTTTATGGATGATGCAAACACTTGGTGACTTCAATTTAAAATTTTCAAAAGTACCTATTTTTTGTGATAACTCAAGTGCAATAAATATTTCCAAAGACCCCCGTTTTGCATTCTAGAACTAAACATATAGAAATAAGACATCATTTCATACGTGATCATGTTGCAAAGGGAGATATTCAAATTGAATATGTAAATACACTTGAACAACGTGCCGACATTTTTACAAAACCATTGGATGAAAAACAATTTTTACATATTTGTCGGGAAATGGGAATGCTTGAATTAAAGTGAAATTTAAGGTTCTTATTATCCCATTACATCATAAAAATAAATTGATCAAGTCAAAATGCTCAAAACACGCGTCTAGAGGTTGAAACAAAACATTACGTCTGAGGCACGGTACCCCGGACGGTACCAAGATCCCGCCCTAAATGGGTATCGCCAGAGAAGAATGGAATTTTGAAGCCGCACGGTAGCTGGAAACGGTATGGCATACCGTAACACCGTACCAGGGTACCGTTAACACGGTACCTAGGTACCGGCCGTCACATCGAGTCAACCTCCTTTTAAAACCCTAGACCTGCAACATTTCGGCATCTTCAGCGTTTTGACTGCCCGGCGTCTCCTCTCGTTTCTCTCTCCTGTGCGACAACCTAGGTAATTCTTCATCCCAAAAATCTTCAATTTCTCCATATATTAGTTTCAATTCATCAATTTCTTACAAATTTCATCAATTTTACCATCAATTTCTCACTTTTTCGCTCAAACTCATTCCCTCTCAATTTTCTACCAAAATGAGTGAAATTGTTTCCGACGTTCAAGTCGATACTCAAGCCGGGTTCAAGGCTTACGCCGACCCACATATCATTGAGGGGAGAACCCTAAAACAAGATGACATCCCGGTTCCCGTTCTTGAACTCATTCAAGAACAAGGTTGGAGTTTCTTTCTTCAACTCCAAGCCCCCGTTTACCCGGAACTCGTTCATCAATTCTATTCTTCTTTGAAATACCATCCCGAAGACCCTTCCATTACCGCCGTAGTTGCCGGCAAAACCTTCGGATTCAACACCCAAAATCTCTCCGAATGGTTTCACCTAGCCCGTCAAGGAGTCTCCACCTATTGCAAAAAGGGGTGGATTACCGACTCCCGAGACTTTAACTCCGATTCTTGCCTCCGAGTGCTAAACAACATTGCCCTTGACCATGTCTTTGAGGACCCGAACTACTTCCTTCATCGGCCAAATGTCCAAGACTTGCCCGCAAATAGGTTCATCCTCCTCAAAATCCTCAAAGAAAATGTCATTCCCGTTCTTAACAAAGATAAACAAGTCGGGGTTTATGAATGCACTCTCTTATATTGGCTCCTCACTCACAAGAAAATCAATCTTCCTTCCATCATCCTTAAACACATGCACGAATGCTCCAATCGCCTAAACAAACCCTATGGCATGCTTCTTACCAATATCTTCGCCAAGAGAGAAATTCTTGAGGTACGCCCTTCTCGCGTCCGCTATCTTGACGCGGAGTGCCTTGGGTATTGTGGCCTTGTAAAGATTGGAGAGGAGTAATACATGAAGAAGGAGTTTCAAAATCTTGATGAGGCGACACGAGCGGAGTATGGTCCTCGGCGTTCCATGTCATCTTTGCCTTCCACTTCACGCGCACCCCGGGCCGAAGCCGAAGAAAATGCAAACACGGAGATCCCCGTTCGTGCTTCTCGGGTCAAATGCTCAAAGTCGGCGTCTCATGCTTCCTCGGCCTCTCTCATGCATCGTCACTCTCACATGGCTTCCACTTCCAAAAATCCCATTAAGAAGTTCAAGAAATTCATCATCAACACCGTGGTGGCTCCGATGAGGAAACTTCAAGAAAGCCTCGATGATCTCTCGGATCGGATGAAGAAGATGGAGGACCGTGAGAATCGCCAAAAGCAAAACGAGGATCGTGCTTCTAAACGCCGCTAAGTGTTGAGCATTTGACAAAATGATCAAACATTCACTTATCTATGTTTTCAAAACAATTGTGTACTTTGTTTTATGTTTCAAACTACTTATTATGCCTTATTTCTAAAACTCGTACTTATGCACTTTTATGATTGAAAACTCCTTTGTTATGTTCATGATTTGATGCTTATTGTTTACTTAAATGCTTATAATTCGTATGGTATACTTGAATGCCTATGTGTTGAAACTCCTGTTTTTTTTACCCCGCCTTTTTGAATGTTGCCAAAAGGGGGAGAAATACTAGGCTTTCATATGCATACATTTAGGGGGAGCTTTTGTCAAAATACCACGTGCAACAACTTAGGGGGAGTTTTTAAAATCAATATATGTTTTTCACGATATGTTTGTGCGTTTGATAATTATATTCGAAAGCCTTATTTGTCAACATCAAAAAGGGGGAGATTGTTGGCCTTGAATGCCATACCCCATAACCGTTTTGATGTGCCAAATAAGTCTTTCAAATGCTACTAACATCATTTGCAGGAAGAAAACAAACGCCAAACCTCTATTAGCTTGTTTAGCATCACCGAGAAATACTCCTATGAGTTTAGAAATTATTGTGTAAAGGTAATGATATATTTCAATGATTTACTTGCGCCCTTTCACTCAAAAATTATTTCTAAAATGTCAAAAAAATTCTAAGTTGGGGTTATTTTGAACACGGAACAAGAAAAACGAGTTTTGAAAAATTGCACAGGTCATACGGTACCTTGCTACCGTGTACACGGCACCATGGTACCGCCGGTAGCCAAGTGAACGTACCGCTGTACGTTTCACCCAAGTGTTACACAGTACCCCCCTACCGCGTAACGGTACCTGGGTACCGGACGGTAGGCACAGACGGTTGGGCCAACCCGTCCTAACTACCTACCGCCAGAGGCGAACCAATTTTTTGGCTTACACGGTACCCCCAAACGGTAGGCCATACCGTGGGTCACGGTACCTAGGTACCGGACGGTACTGACCCTACCGTGAAGGGTACCGGATCCGTTGGCAGCACTGTAGCAAATTGCAAATTTAAATTCAAATCACCCCTAATCACTTCCTAACGGCATTTAACGTTAAAAACTCAAATTTTAACATTCCAAACTCCTATATAAACCCCCTCTAAGCCTCATTTTATTCACAACAACTTCCCAATTAAATCTAAAGCCTCTTTCTCTATTCTTGAGTGTTTTTAAAGCTTTGTTCTTATTTTTCTTACTCTTTTGACTAAAAATCTTTTATTTCATACACTCACACACAAGGGCATTTGTGCTTCATTATTTTATATCTTGCCTATAGGCTTTTGTTGTTGTTGATTTAATCTTTTGTTCTTCTCCTACCCAACTTACATTTGTTATCATTTTGTTAGAGAAGCAACACCAATCTTTTTATTGATTTGTAAAAGGTGTGGATAGCCTCTAAATCCTCATTGTAAGGTTGAAGATAGCCTTAAAATCTTCGGTTGTAAACGGTTGAGATAGCCGTAGTAAAATCTCATTTGCTTATTGGCAAGGGTTGTTTGCCAAACCTCATTTGAGTCTTCTTAGTGAAGCCAAACAAGTTAGTGGAGGTTAAATCCTTGAGGAGGAGCCTCGAGGTACTGGAGTAGGGAGTTCCCGAACCAGTATAAAATCGCTTGTGTCGTATTTTTATCTTTTATATTTTTCTTGCTCTTTTTCCGCTACTACTTTGCGCATAATTTTTAGTTTTTACAAAAAACTTACAAACACCCTAATTCACCCCCCTCTTAGGGTGTAAATCGACTTTCACCGCTCGAGAGGAGCCGAGCCCGGAAGAGCCGGAAGCCGATGACTAGTGGATAGTTTTTACCGACGGCTCCTCCGCCGCCAAAAACTCGGGGGGTGGAGTGGTAGTCATCGCTCCCGAAAGCTTCAGAGCATACTACTCAATTCGATTCGGTTTCAAGGCATCAAACAATGAAGCGGAATATGAAGCGCTCCTGTGCGGGCTACGCCTAGCAGCCAGGATGAACGCAACAAAGCTAAGGGTAAAGTGTGATTCAAAGCTGGTGGTTGGCCACGTCTCGGGAGAGTTCGAGGCGAAGGACGAAAGAATGAAGAAGTACAGAGATACCGCTCTGGAGTTACTTAAGAGTTTCACCGCGTATAGTGTGGAGCAGATCCCTCGGGCGGAGAATGCCGAGGCGGATATCTTGTCGAAGCTGAGCTCGGACACGCCCGAGCACATCAGGCGGATGGCGAACGTGGAAGAGTTGTCCGAGCCGAGCATCCATGCCTTCCCCGTGGCGATGATCTGTGCTCGGCCAAGAGATTGGATGGACGACATAGTTGCCTTCTTGAAGGATGGCGCCCTCCCGGACGATGCAATAAAGGCCAAGTTGGTCCGGACTAGGGCACCTGGGTACACTTTGGAGGGCGAAAAGCTATACAAGCGAGCATACAACGGTACGCTGCTCAGGTGCCTCCGACCAGCTGAAGCAGAGCAAGTCATGGAGGAGGTGCACGCGGGGATCTGCTCCGCCCACCAAGGAGCCTACGCAGTGTCAAGGAAGATAACCCTCCAAGGATATTTTTGGCCAACAATTGTTAAGGATTGCGCGGAGTTTGTGAGAAAGTGCAAGGTGTGCCAAGAGTTCCAGAAGGTACCGGGGAGGCCTTCAACAAACTATACCCCCATCAGCACAGCTATCCCGTTCACGCGGTGGGGGGTGGACCTCGTGGGTGCGCTTCCTAGAGGTACCGGGAACGTGCGATACGTCATTGTAGCCATTGACTACTTCACTACGTGGGTGGAGGCGGCAAGCATCACTGGAGCTCAATGCCAGAAGTTTCTCGCAAAGCAAGTCATCTGCCGCTTCGGCGTTCCCGAACACGTAATCACGGACAATGGAACACAATTCAAGTCCAAGCCCTTTAACGACTTTCTCGAGAGTTGGGGGATCAAGCACAGCTATGCATCGGTTGGGTACCCGCAGACGAACGGGCAGGTCGAGAATGCCAACCGAACGATAGTCGACGGGCTGAAGCAAAAGTTGGAAGCTTGTGGCGGGGAGTGGGCAGAGGAGTTGCCCTATATCTTATGGACCTACCGGACCACGCCCCAAAGGGCAACCGGGGAAACTCCTTTCGCTCTATGCTACGGATTTGAGGCAAGGGCACCCGCAGAGATCTCCATCGCAACCCACCGGGAGGCGGTCTTTGACCCCGAGCGAAATGAGGAAGCCCTGGCAGCCGAGCTCCACCTCGTGCATGAAAGACGAGAAGCGGCCTTCTTACGGGCGGAGAATTACCGGAGGAAGGTGAAGAGCTACCATGATGGGCGCGTGCGCGCGCGGGGGTTCGCCGAAGGAGATTGGGTGCTGCGCAAGAGAACGGTGAGCTGCCCCCTAGAAGGAGGAAAGTTTGCCAAAAATTACGAAGGCCCGTACATCATCAAAGAAGTGGTGGGCCCTTCAACATTCCGCCTGCAGATGCCGAGCGGAGGGGACGTGCCCAGGACATGGAATGCCGAGAACTTAGTTAAGTTTTATCAGTAGACTTCTGATGTACACGGACCCCAAAATGGGAACCCGTAGATCTTTTCGGTTGAACTCAATGGAATGAAGTTTTTTGCGAAAAGAACTTGCTTGAACACCCGTGCTCGGCGCCCCTCCTCGGAAGGGGGCCGAGCGCAGACCATACCCGGATGTTCTTCCCGGATGAAGGTCATAACCTCGTGCTCGGTGCTCCTCCTCAGGAGGAAGGCCGAGCGCAGACCATACCCGGATGTTCTTCCCGGATGAAGGTCGTACCCTCGTGCTCGGCGCTCCTCCTCAGGGGGAAGGCCGAGCGCAGACCATACCCGGATGTTCTTCCCGGATGAAGGTCATACCCTCGTGCCCGGCGCTCCTCCTCAGGAGGAGGGCCGAGCGCAGACCATACCCGGATGTTCTTCCCGGATGGAGGTCAAACACTTGTGCTCGGCGTTCCTCCTCAAGAGGGAGGCCGAGCGGAGACCATACCCGGATGTTCTTCCTGGATGAAGGTCAAACACTCATGCTCGGCGTTCCTCCTCAAGAGAGAGGCCGAGCGCAGACCATACCCGGATGTTCTTCCCGAATGAAGGTCAAGCATTTTCGCTCGGCACTTCTCCTCGGAAGGAAAGCCGAACGTAGACCATACCCGGATGTTCTTCCCGGATGGAGGTCAAACACTCACGCTCATAATAAAATCAAATTCATATCTTATTCATCCCTGAAAAAGGGGATAGTACACGGCGCAAACGCCGTAGAATGGACCAGTGGGCAATGGCACCAAGACCAAGGTGTTTGGTCAGAGCACCACGCGGATAAGTCGAGCCCGCGCTCGTCCTCGGTTAGGCGACGAGACGAGGCTAACACGTCTATGTCAAGGCGGGCCTAAACGTGAGCGTGGCCCCGTATGGGCAAGCGCAAGCACCCCGTCAACGGCCAGTCGGCCTCCAAAACTTATTCGAGGAAATACGATTAGGAGTCGAAGCAAAACGATAAAGGCATCACAAACCACGAAGAGTCAAGGGTAATCGTTGTGCAGCGCAAAATACATTGTTCGAGGGGAAAAACATTACATCAAAAAAAAGAACTAAGGGTGGAGTACATCGGTGGGCCCAGCCGCGCTCAGTTACCGGCGGTGTCCTCACCCCCACCAGTGGCGTCCTCGTCCTCGGAATAGTAGATGGATGAGTCAAACTCCTCAGGGTTCTCGGATGGCTTCGGGAGTTCCTTCCCATCTCGGATCCGCTCCAGCAAAACTTCTTGAGCCCGATGCAGGCCCAGGGAGTAATTGGCTTGCCCCTCTTTGAAAAGGAGACGCTGGCCAGCGGGAGTTTGAGCCCAGATCTTCAAGAGATCGTCCATGCGGGAGAGAGCCGCCTCCCGGGAACCTCGACAACCGCGATCTCCTCAACAGACGGGGAACCTGGCTGCTCCGTTCGGACGCCCTGGGCCACGGAACCATGACTGGCGGGCCCGAGCTCGCGCTCGACCTCGGACGTCCGAACAGAGGATGAATCGATAGACATGAAGTAGCAGGAGAGAGGAACTGACCTCGAAGGAGCGCCGCCGGGGAAGAACGGGAAGCAAAGAACAGCGATGTGCGAGAAGGGAAGTAGCGAGCGGCGGCGACGCCGCAAACCCTAATGTATCTCCTCTCTCTAGAATGTGAGAATGAAGGAAGCTTTGGGGTTATTTATACTAAAATTGGGCCCGAATAGTGATGGGCCAGACGGGTGTCACGGTTGGGCCGCCACTTGGGAGAAGCGAAGCGCCACAACCGTTCGCGGGGAACTCCAAGCGTCACCACATGTCCGCCAAGCTATGCGTGGGCCCACGAGCTGACCGGCCACAGTGTTTTCTACTCTCACGCGCTCCACTGCTAGATGCCATGGAACCCGGAGAGTGGGGGACTTCTGATGGGGAATAACCCCACGCCAGCCTAGGACTGCCATCAGCATAAATTTCCCAAGTATCGGGCTTGAACGTTCCTGCCCGGCCCAGAGCTCCGCTTGCCTTCCTGCCCGGCTCTGCGCTCCGCTCGTCCTTCCTGCCCGGCTCTGCGCTCCGCTCGTCCCTCCTGTTCGGCTCGGCCAACCAAGCCGAGCCCGAGCCCCGCGACAATGACATGCGGAAAGCGACGTTCAACGGAGACTTGATGAAAACGATAGGATGAAAGGGACAAGACGCAAGGACAGGTGACATCCTCTAGACGACGGGCATCGATTAGAGAGCTTTGACTTAGCTTATTGTACCCCATATAAAAGGGGTGGCACCCCTCATTGTAATGGACCCGAATTTGAAATCAATATACTCCTACTTTGCATTCTCTCTCTCTAAAAATTATATTATTTCATACTCTCGGTGGTTTATAGCCATCAATAAACAATTTCTTCATTTATTCTTAATTTGGGTCTGTATTCAGTTCCCAATCAAGATCACACAATAAGTCAACATGTTGGATTTATCTCTATGAGATTTAACCTAATTATGTTTATTGGATATCAATATATATTTTCTTTCGGTCCAAAGCCCAACAACAATTTATTTTAATAAAAAAGAATTTGATTAGTTTATTATTTATTTATTAATAATTCTAGGGTATGTTTTGGGTAGGGGTGAGCAAATACCGAACCGATATCAAATTTTCCCGAAAAAACCAAGAATACCGAACCGAAAAATACCTAACCGAAAAATTACCAAGAAGGAACCGAACCGTACTGAACCGAATGGTCGGTACGGTATTTGGGAATGGTACAAGGGGACGTCCCATACCGAAAATCCCGAAACAAATGTATATACTAAAATATTATAAAAAAATAATACCACAGAGTAATAATTTTATATTCCTTCACTAAATAATACTCCGTGTAAATTTTTAAAAAAAAAATGGTTCAAGTTTTATTATGTGTAAATTACACTTTTATTTGAGTTTTAATTTTTGTGTATGAACATAAAAGTATTCACAAAGATTCAAAATACTCCTTTATTGTCGTTCATTTTTTAGTTTGTGAAATATAAACTAAATTTTGATAAACGTCGCTTGCATTTAAATATTCATTTTTTTTATTTTTTATTTTTTATTTAAAATCACTTTTTAATTTTCAAAAATAAAGGGGCATTTTTAAATTTTAACGTGTAAAGTAGGTATGTATATTCATCCCGATTTGTACCGAAACCGATACCAAACCATCCCGAACCATACCGAACTGATACTTTGGGATCGGGATCGGCACGGAGTAAAATCCCATACCGAACCGAAATATTTGGTACGGTATCGGTACAAGCTAAATACCGTACCATGCTCACCACTAGTTTTGGGGCGTTACACCAAACTTCATAAAGAAAGAAACAAATTTGAATTTTGGAGATATTTTTCGAAGTTGGAATAAAGGGGATTGATCCCCACATATGGACCAATCACTTGGAGCCTGGAAATAATGAAGGAATCCAAACAGTCCTTCAGCGGATCAATCACATAACCTGGATTGATCACGTCCCCTAAATCCGACCCAAGTTAAAATTCAAAGGATCTATCCCAGCCTCTAGATTGTTCACATGGGTTCATTAATTCTATTTCCGGCCTAACACATATTTCAGGGGATCGACCACACATACTGAATCGATCATGTGTGCTAATCAAATCAATTTCAGGCTCAATACATATATCGGCGGATCGATCACCACATGTGGATCGATCACCTAGACTAAATGGCAACCAAAAGTTTTCTTCGGTGGATCGATCATCCCTCTTGGATCGATCACACTAACTTAAGGTATATATATTGATCATCTCTCTCGTTTCTCACTTTTTTACCTGCCCTCTCTCTCTCTGCATGTGCGAACGAAGCTCACGAAACTCAAAGGTATGATTTCTTCAATTTTTCATTAATTTTCTTCAAATCTCTTACAAATTTGTTGTTTAATCCTTCATATTCTCCATCTAAGTTATAAATTAGTCATTATATATGTGTTTCAATAGATTTCTCCTACCTCCGTTCAAACCCTAGCGTCATGATTGGAAGAAACAACAAGCACCCACAGACAAAGAACATGATCGGTGAATCTAGTAATACCCAAGAGGAACGGTATGTCTCCTCATTTGTTTTTCTCGAGGATGACTCCTAATGGTTCAATGACTTCTTGATTCGCCCAATTTTGATTCCCAAATCCGTTGAGCATGTAGTATTTTGTCATCAACCCTTTGCTCAAGCCACTGACATTGTTGATAAGCTTAATTGGTTTGACAGATTTTTTGCATCGAAAATTTCAACTATATTTCCCAAATCTTGTTTGACTATTCTATGCCAATTTTTCTCTCAACGGTAAAAATAATCAAATGCTCCGTTAATGGAGTAGATATTGAAATGAACCTAAAGGATCTTGGTGAATTTCTTCATCAACCCTATGACGGATGTGGTTTTAGTAAGATTGCGTTTAGGGAATTCCGAAATTTTTATCCCTACGACTTTGTTACCATCATTGGCAACAAAAATATTCGTCAACTTGAACGTCTCACCGTTGGACGCATTAAGCCTCACTTTCGTATCCTTCATTACTTCATCTCGAAAGTATTTGCACCTCACAAATCGAGTCACTCAAAAGTACTTTCTTTCGATATTCGACTTCTCTTTATTTTTGTTAAGAATTTCAAAATTAACTGGGCAAAATTCTTTTGCAACCATCTCCTTTCCATGAAAACCAAAGGGTCTCTTGGGTACGTGATCATGATCGTGGCCATCATGTTCAAGTTTTGGGTGGACTTCACGAAGGATGTTCAAATTATGATGGATCACACTTGGAACATTGATGTAGCCACATTCAACCGTTCCAACGTTCCCAAGACCGTCGGTGACCAAAAAGAAGGAGGTGACGACGATGGTGTTAGTCGGTTTAGTCGTTGTGCCCACGCCTTAGATGGGGGGTGAATAAGGCATTTGAAAATCTTTTCGGAGTTTGATAAAAACGGTGTTGGCAAATGCGGAAGAAATATATAAAATGCAGAAATAAAAGCATAAATAAAATGCACATCGATTTTATACTGGTTCGGGAACTCCCTACTCCAGTACCTCGAAGCTCCTGCTCAAGGATTTCCAAATCCACTAAGTT